AGTAGAGGGAGAACCGTGCAATGCTCCCTCTAAACTGGGGAGTCTTGTGAGCAAAATTTCTACTTCGTGAGCTGTTGGCATTAAAGTTGTGAGTGAGCGATTTGGCTACTGCATAAATGAGTTTGCTCTGGAGCCATCCTTCCTGAGCTAAGACAAAAATGTGTGAGCCGAAGGCTAAAAAACTGTAAGCTAGCTCACACTAACTCAGCTTGGAGGGAACATTGGAACCGTGTGTGCTGTCCATTGCTCCTTGTAAAAGGCTGTGCAGAACGAGAATGTCAACAGTGGAACCGTAGTGCAGGCTGGTGTGTGTATGCAGGACATTCCAGAAGAGATTTGTCTCTGACGACTGAGGCTTTAACACCTCCATTCAAAACACATTTACTTAGAAGGGGGTCCCTGTGGGGCCTTCTTGCTAGGAAGCTTGTCTAAATTCCAGAGAATCAGAACTAGCTAAAATCTGCATTTGATTGACAGTAACCTCCCAAGCATAGCTGCCCCCAAAGTCACTCCCGAGCCTCGCCCTCCAGCAGGCTGCTATTCAACCCCGGCAGCCATTCACAAGCACACTAACACTTTCTAAAGTGGTGCAAACTGTTACAAATCCTCTTGAAAAGTGCTAAGTGTATGCTGAGACCCTGGAGGGTTAGGCTAAGTTGTTTAGCAGTTGCTGTTGCCCGGTTGCCTTCCTTTTAATGGAGGGTTGTTCTGTGTGGGCATGTGTCTCGGTAAAGGTCCTCATGGAGTTTAAATGGATTCATGGTGGGTTTTTTTGGATTTTTGTTTTGTTTTGCATCTCTCGTTCTCTCTTTTTGCTTGTTTGTTTGTTCACGCCTGCAAACTGGAAGTTAATGCGCAGAGAACGTTTATGCAGCACTAGGACAGATGATTCAGCAAAGCAAATCATGCCAAGTGGGGCTTGGAAACCAAAGCGGCATGGCTCACATCATGCCAAGTGGGGCTTGGAAACCAAAGCAGAAGCAGGTCTCATGCAAGCCGTGTGCTTGACGTCTGACTGTCCTTTGGCTGGGGGCACAGCCTGCCTGTTGGCAAGAACAGGGTCTGAGAATGCACTTTCAGAGTATCTGCATTGGCCTTGGGGCCCAAATCAAAGTATAAGAGCCCTGCTGGGTCAGACCAGAGGCCCACCTAATTTGTGATTCTGGGCACGTGTCTTATACTGAGCCAGAGCAAGGCATGCCAATCTCCAGGGGGAGTCTGGAGATCCCCTGGAATTACAGCTGTTCTCCAGACTACAGAGTTCAGTTCCCTTGGAGAAAATGGCACCTTCAGAGGGTGGAAGATTTTGGAATCTTGCCCTGGTTAATACTTGGATGGGAGACCACCAGGGTGTTGTAAAATAGTCAAAAGTGTTTAATACTCAGACTATCAATGGATCTTGCTCTATTGGAAAGAAGAGATTTCTTTGCTTTTAAAAACCTTTATTTCTAAGGGTAAAAGGTACACGGGATAACTACAAATAAACATAACACTAACAGCTACATTTTCTAAGCTGTCTATAGTCAACACTAAAACAGAGATAATGGAGAATCTGTCCTTCTTCTCGACCCCTAGAAAGGAAGTCACCTGAAACAAACAACCAGTCTGTATCACAATAGAAGCTACTTTTCCCGGGCTAATTCCCCATTGGCTTACTGCCAGGTATCCCTTCCAGGTCAGTCTAAACAATAGCAATACTAGGAAAAACAAGTTAACCCTATAATGGCTGGATTGTCAGACCTTGTAAACACATGCATTTCCAACACAGGGTTGCTACAGAGGCAGGCAATGGCAAACCACCTCTGTCTGTCTCTTGTCTTGATAATCCTACGAGGTCTCCGTAAGTTGGTTGCGACTTGACAGGACTTTCTGCCACCGAATACCAAGCAATTGGTACTTAGAGGTATAATGCCTCTAACTCCGCAGCTTCCATTTAGTTTTCATTTATCCAATGGTAGATCTGTTCTCTTTAAATTTGACAACTGTCCCCTTTAAAGGCATCCAAGCCTTTCCCATGGCAGCAGTAAGGGAATCCTGCTTTGGGTGAGAGGTGTTTTATTTTGTATGTCTTAACAGAGAATGGGTGTTACTTAATGGGATTAATGGTAGAGTAGAGATTTGAGCTGCGGTGGCTCAAGTAGTTAAGACGCTGAACTGCAGGCTGTGGAAGGTCAGTAGTTCAGCAGTTCAAGACCCAGGTGCCGCAAAACAGGGTGAGCTCCTGTCTCTAGTTCCAGCTCCTGCCAACCTAGCAGTTCGAAAGCAAGAAATTGCAAGTAGATAAATAGGGACCACTTCGGTGGGAAGGTAACAGCGTTCCGTGCGCCTTAGTGTTTAGTCATGCCAGCCACATGACCACGGAAATGTCTTCGGACAGCGCTGGCTCTTCGGCTTTGAAACGGAGATGAGCACCGCAACCCTAGAGTCGGATTCGACTGGCTTTCGAGCAAGGGAACCTTTACCTTTACTAGAGATTTGTGGGCTGTGGTGGCTCAAGGGGTTAAGGCGCTGAACTGCAGACTTCAAGGTCGGTAGTTCAGCAGTTCGAGATCCGAGTGCTGCATGAAGGAGTGAGCTCCCATCTCTGGTCCCAGCTCCTGCCAGCCTAGCAGCCTGAATGCAAGAAATTGCAAGTAGATAAATAGGTACCACTTCAGTGGGAAGGTAACAGCATTCCATGCACCTTGGTGTTTAGTCATGCCGGCCACATGACCACGGAAATGTCTTTGGACAGCGCTGGCTCTTCGGCTTGGAAACGGAGATGAGCACCGCATTCCTGGAGTAGGATTCGACTGGCTTTTGGGCAAGGGAAACCTTTACCTTTATCTTTAGAGATTTGAACCCAGCTCTTTCCACTCTTCATTCAAACATATACAGCAAAATGAGTTGGTACTGAGGCGGTAGAATGGACCGCATGCACCACTTCAGATGGCAGGTGAGGGGTCACAATTTTCAACATTCCGCATCATTAAAAAATTCCTGGAAAATGGCCATCTAGGAGAGAGATCAAAAGGTGTCAAACTCATTTGTTATGAGGGCCAGATCTGACATAAATGTCACTTTGTCGAGCCAGGCCACATGTGCCCAAAAAAAACGTAATGCCAGATACCGGAGATATAAACTGTATAAAGGACAGCAGCTGGTAAGGGCCGAGCTGGTGTATCCTCACTGCAAGGCCTCATGGGCTGGGAAGGGGTGCAAAGGAAAATCCATATGGACGGACTGGAGAGCCAGCAGTGCAGCACTGGGCAGATGCTCCCACGCTGCTGCAGATGAGGTTGTTCTGTCATGCTGAAGCTGCAATCAGAGTGGCTTCACCCACTCCCCCTGAGCAGTCCTCCTGTTCCCTCCCTTGCATTAGTTGCTCGCGGGCCACATAAGAGCCCTGGATAGGCAGGTTCCAGCCCCCGGGCCTTATGTTTGACACCCCTGAGCTAGAACGTTTCCACCTGATGCACTATTTTTTTTAAAAAAAATCAGGGAGTTATTACATTCAGCCTTGTTCCCTTTCCTGTCCAGAAGTTAAAACAAGTCTTGTTCGCAAAAGGCTTTTTCAAAAGCATTGTGAGATGGCTGAGCTGCATTTTATAGGCATGGTTTTAAATTACTGCTGGATTTTCAAGAAATGTTGTTTGCTCTGCTCCTTAATGGATAGATGACCTTACATTCTTCATTTGGCTGTGCGTTGCTTTGGACATTTGATAGCAAGACAGCCAATCTGCCCCATAAATACGCAATAATAAGCAACCACATCTGGAACAGTGGGTTGTGCTGGATGTGGGGAGGTCAGGACTTGTTCTCATGAATGGGTTGGATCCAGCCCTCCTCCGAGGAGCATTCCTCCAACCTGAGTAGTTCTTCTTCCAACAGATGAGCCACTTAAGTTGGAGGAAGCCTTTTTAGACTGGCACAAGGCTTCAGACTTTTCTCAGTGGAGTGGTAGGATAGGGGTAGGATCCAGTCTGTTGTCTCAACTTGTGGTGGGTACAAGGAAGAAAGCTCATTTTCTTTCTGGCCAAGCATGGGGGGACTTGTGAAGCAATGCACAGAATTCAGCCTAGGAACTAGAAGCCAGGGAGATTCTCCTGTATGTATTCCCAAGTATTCTCAACACAATGTATGCATAGAAAGAACATGATAGAAAGTGGTATTTTGTCATGAAATGACTCGGGAGTATTTTTATTGGGGAGCGGTGGCACAGTGGGTATATCCTACTGTCTTAACATCTGAACTGCGTTGGTTCAAGCCCCGCGCTGGTGTGAGCAGCCAGCCTGTTGTCCCCAGCTCATTGTCCACCCAGCGATTCGAAAGCTTCGGCGAGTAGATAAAATGGGAACCACTCCTTAGAGAGGGTGGGCATGCCAACCTCCCTTGTGGGAGGGCGTTAGCTGACGGTCGGACGTCCTTGGTCAAGGCTTGTAAAGGCGAAACAGCTTCCCGGCTACAAAAAGAACGCCTGCAATGGATGTTCCGGCCAGGCGGTGGCAGTGTGGTGATTGACATACGGGTCCTGAAGCCTGGCCAGCAAGCAGCCGTGCCGGAAAATGACAGAGCCAGCCAGAAGACGTCTACACCGGGCAGTGACGGCGCGTGCAATTAAAATGAATATATGTTGTCTTCCCTATCCCCTACAAACATTGTTAGTCCCTTGTCTATATGGAGTAACTGTACATCACTTTTGAGCCCACTGGGGAAAGCGATTAATAAATGGAAAGTATTATTATTGGTAAAATGCACGGCAAGAGGAAGACCCAACATGAAATAGATCGACTCCACAAAGGAAACCACAGCCTTCAATTTGCAAAGTCATTTATTGGTAGAATGTTCTGGAGTTCATTCGTTCCTAAGGTTGCTGTAAGGCAGAAGTGACACGAGGTCACATAATACACACAAGATGTACTAATTCCCTTTCTAAAAAAAGGTTTTGGTTTGCAATAAAAAGTATTTAAAAAGCAACCTGCCTGCAACAGAAGGGTTGTTGATGCTTCCTTTTCCTCCAGAGATATTCCACCACTGGCCTAATTGCTGTGATTTTCGCCCTCCACCTGTGCCAGGAAGTTAACATTGTGGGGTTTGGCTACCCGCCTGAGAAGAACAGAACCTCCCCGCTGCACTACTATGGCATGGATCACTTGACAAAGAACATGGTAAGGACCCTCTTTAAGATGCACTGGGCTAACGGGATCCCTGGACTGGGAGCCAGAGTACCTTCTCAAATCACCTCTTCTCAAACCAGCCAACTTCTCAAACCACAGTCTGTGTCTGAGGAAGTGTGCGTGCATACAAAAGCTGATACCTTGAATAAACCTTTGTTGGTCTTAAAGGTGCCACTGGACTCAACCTTTGTTCTACTGCTTCAGTCCAATACAGCTACCCAGCAGAGGTCCATCAGTGGCTATTAGCCACAAGGTATAAATAGGGACTCTGGGGCAAATGATGCTCTGTCATCTTGGTGCTTGGGGGGGTCAACAGTGGGAGGGCTTCTAATGTCCTTGCCCCACTGGTGGACCTCCTGATGGCACTGGTATTTCTGGCCACTGTGTGATACAGAGTGTTGGACTGGATGGGCCTTTGGCCTGATCCAACATTGGCATCTCTTATGTTCTTATGTTCACCTGGCACAATCGCACAGTCCAGTTATTTCAGCTTGACAGAGCCCTTTCAAAGTGAGGAGGACTATATGTGCAGGCTTTTTTTTTAAGCAGAGTGCATGAATTGTTTTGTCAGGCCAACAAAATGAGAACTTCTTTTGGGGAGAGGACTTTGGAGTGTGCGTGAAATCCACATTGCGTTGCCAGGTTCCTTTCACCCGCTGGTGGGGGGATGATGTGGGGGGGGGGAGATGTTCCGGTAGTGGGAAGTGACATTGCCCCCCCATTCCCCCCAAAACGTGCCTGTGTCACCTGGAAGTGACGTTGGGGACGTCAGAGGTGACACTCTGGACTTTGGGCAAAACTCTATGGTAAGATTGACATCAAACCATAGAGTTTTACCCAAAAGTCAGAACGTCAAAAAACAAAACCCAATGCTGCTGACATGCCGACATCACTGAGGCAGGCACGTTGTGTGCGATGTTGCTGTTTGGGGGGGGGATTCCCTCTCGCATGCTAGCTGGCCACTGGCGGGCAGGAGTCCCCCGACCCCACCGGGCAAATGGCAACCATAGATCCATGCCCTCACGAATCACCCCCCCACAGAAGTCCCTAGCTCCCATTAATTGTGTGAATGCAGTCTCTGTGCTCTGTTTTTTTTTTCTTCCTGTCCTGCTTGATAATGCAAAGAGACTAGAAGAGAAGTGGAAGGAGGCATCTAGGATTGAGTCATAAGCAGAGAGAATGGGTGATTTTCACGTTTCGTCAGCATTCTAAAGCTTGTTTCCCATGGAGATCTTTCAGGGATCACTGCAAAAGGCATGAAACTGTTTGCCTGTTCAACAACAGCAGTTTCCTAAATATGCACAGTTTTCTCTCAGCTTTCTAATTGGCTAGTATTGCCCAGGTGACCAGCATAGGACTCATTGCCCTCACTCTGTATTAACTGTGTTTGCTATCAGTAACAGCAGCATGTAAGCCAAGGCTGATTGGCTAAATATCACCACAAAGGCCAGGGCTGATTGGGTAGGATCATTTCGTAAAGGGGAAAGAAACCCTGAGTAAGGGAAAATAATGGTACCAAGGTTGAGGTAGATCAGGGAATTAAGCACTGTGAATAGCTACTGTCACTCTGAAGACTGAAACGGGTGGCTGTATGCAGCCCTAGATGTGTCACAGTAAGCATCCTGAGAGAGCCAGTTCGGTGCAGTAGTTAAGAGCACAGACTCTAACCGGGTTTGATTCCCCAGTCCTCCACATGAAGCCAGCTGGGTGACCTTGGGTCACTACTAAGTTCTTTTAGAGCTATTCTCTCACGGGCAGTTCTTGAGAGAGCTCTCTCAGCCCCACTGACCTCACAGTGTGTCTGTTGTGGGGAGAGGAAGGGAAAGAGGAAGGGAAAGGAGCCGCTCTGAGACTCCTTCGGGCAGTGAAGTGCGGGGTATAAATCCAATCTCCTCCTCCTCCATCGTCATCAATAGGTCATCAATAGGTCCTGGGATGGGAAAAATAGCTTCCAGTGTGGTACCCATTGTGACCACAGGTGGCTTTTCTGTTGGTTCCTTCAGGAGCTGGTTCTGTCCCTGTGGAAACCACTGCTTGGCTATGGCCCATTCTGCATTTAGCATTTGCTCTGCTGTTTTACCAAACCTACACTGGAACAGAAATTGCCCTCTACATTGCGTGCCACTTTCACTTCCTCTGATCTCGCGGTTTTATGGTACCGTCTGCTTAGATTTATGGCCGTTTAATGGCTGTTCCAGGGTAATTCTGCAGTCAGTATGGGGTTGGCCTGGGGTATTTGAATGTGGTGTTGAGCCACATCTTTTTCTGTTCCAGTGTGGTTTTGGTAAAACAACGGAGCGAACACTAGATGCAGAATGGCCTATAGCTTGTGTGGCTCAGTTAAAATAAAAGGCACTCGTTCTCTTTTGCAGATTCGGACACACAACCTTACAGCAGAGCAGAAGTGGCTTCTGAAGATGCAGGAGCGGGAGATGATCTTTGACGTGTTGCGCCCTCCTACTTCCTGGGTCTGGGGACCCCGGCCACAGTGGTGACCCCCACCTTTTTTGATGACACTGTCATAGCCGTACCATCTTCAGTGTTACAGATTGTCACTTTTTGGCTGGTTTTTTGCCAGTTGCTGAGCACGGTCAATGGGCAGAGCAACTTCTGCTTCCTTCATTCTTCATTTCTGTGTACTGGAGGAGACCTGCTTCCCCAAACCTGTGTGCTGACAGAAGATAACCTGCTGAATTCTGCTTGGGCTCTTTAAAAAGGGTTGCAGTGAAAACACTGGGAAACCAGGGGTGGGGGTGGGGTGGGGATGTCGTTCATCTTAGTAACATCATTGAAGTCTGGATGACCTGAGTGCTCAGACATCTTGGACAATTATCACAGATATTTGGGGAAGAAAATGTTTTTGTGAATTCTGCCCTGTTTGTCAATAAATGCAAAATTGTTTTGTTCTAAGTATGGTGTGGACTTCTTGGTTCTGCTCTTCAATTTATGGTCACTTTGATTAGTGTAAACCGCCACCACTTGTCTCTTGGGTGGAACGAGCCGATACCAGCCTGTCAGGGCTAGTTTTGGGCAGGAACGCACAGGAACCGAGTTCCGGCTGGCTCCCAAGTTGGCCACACCCAGCAGGAACTCATTAGCATATCAGGCCACACCCAGCAGTAGAAACTCATTAGGATTGGCTACATTAGGGGTGTGTGGCCTAACATGCAAAGGAGTTCCTGCAACAAAAAAAAAGGCCCTGGGTTTTGACAACAAACAAGGTAAACAGAATAAGAAGCAAAAGGTGGGTGTGGCTGGATGACCACACTTCTGGTAACATGGGAATGCGGCCTAATATGCTAATGAGTGGTGCAATCAGGGGTGTGGCCTAATATGCTAATGAGTTTCTGCTGCTGGGTGTGGCCTATTATGCTAATGAGTTCCTACTGGACTTTTTCTACAAAAAAAGCCCTGCAGCCTGTTATCCCTGGGACAGAACGTCTTTGCTGTCTGTTTTGGGGCCCAATTCGAGGTGTTGTTTCTTACTTCGAAACCCCTTTGCATGCCAGGACCCCAGTGCCAGCTGTGTTCTTCTGTGCAGTATTCACTTGACAATGACAATACATGCAGACAAAAAAAGGAAACCAGAAGTGGCGGCTTCAGTTAAGTTCCAATGATTTCGGGTTGCGGACATTTTCTCAGTAGTGATTTCTGCCGACGTCCTCCTCCCACTGCATACCCCTCTTTCCCCCCTGTGTTGCGCCTGAGGATCCACTAAATCCCCAGGAACAAAATTTCAGGGGGCTTATTCAGGTTGCAGTGGATAGGGTGAACTGGAGGAAATTGGCACCCCCTCTTAAAGAAACCACAGTTGGATACTGACCACTGCGTTTGTACATCCCATTGTGAGAATCAGGAGCTGGGATCGTAAGCTGAAGAGCTGGGTCCAGCTCTGCATACACAGCATGGTTGTGGAGAGGGAGCAGAAGAGAGCACACTGGCTTTGCCTATGTGTTTAGCATATGCTGTGCAACCTGTACATGTCTAGGCTCTATCCTTATGTTCTGTGAATCTTGGAAGAGTAGTGTTCCGATCCTGGGGATTTTTAGTTCAGCTAATCACTGCTGTTTCACTAGCATTTGGGGGTTGCTGCTGATTGCTTCTTTTACTTTGCTATATTTTATTTTATTTTATTTTATTGCATACTTTACAGAAGGAACAGAGTATTATTCACCCAAAGGGGTGAATTAGAACATTAAGACAAACAGAAAGGATACCCTGTTCTCTGTCTTAATTTTCTACTTTACTGTCTTTAGATACAGGGCGATTTCTCACTAGAGCTGCCTCACAGCACAGCCACCGTTTGCCCCAACACAAACATGTCAATTTCACACCCGAAGCTCCGGGGCTGCATTTTGACTCGGGGCTTCGCCCGCTTTCCTCCGCAGTTTCGTGATTCTGGTTTTTGAGGATCATGAAACTGCGGAGGAAATCGGGCAAAGCCCCAAGTCAAATTCAGCCCCGCAGCCTCGGGTGTGAAATTGACATGTTTGTGTTAGGGCAAATGGCGCTGTGCTGCGAGGCAGCTCTAGTGAGAAATCGCCCATGCTCAGTGTGGCATAATGCCCAACAACAGTGTGGCATAATGCCCTGCAGCCTGTTATCCCTGGGACAGAACGTCTTTGCTGTCTGTTTTGGGGCCCAATTCGAGGTGTTGTTTCTTACTTCGAAACCCCTTTGCATGCCAGGACCCCAGTGCCAGCTGTGTTCTTCTGTGCAGTATTCACTTGACAATGACAATACATGCAGACAAAAAAAGGAAACCAGAAGTGGCGGCTTCAGTTAAGTTCCAATGATTTCGGGTTGCGGACATTTTCTCAGTAGTGATTTCTGCCGACGTCCTCCTCCCACTGCATACCCCTCTTTCCCCCCTGTGTTGCGCCTGAGGATCCACTAAATCCCCAGGAACAAAATTTCAGGGGGCTTATTCAGGTTGCAGTGGATAGGGTGAACTGGAGGAAATTGGCACCCCCTCTTAAAGAAACCACAGTTGGATACTGACCACTGCGTTTGTACATCCCATTGTGAGAATCAGGAGCTGGGATCGTAAGCTGAAGAGCTGGGTCCAGCTCTGCATACACAGCATGGTTGTGGAGAGGGAGCAGAAGAGAGCACACTGGCTTTGCCTATGTGTTTAGCATATGCTGTGCAACCTGTACATGTCTAGGCTCTATCCTTATGTTCTGTGAATCTTGGAAGAGTAGTGTTCCGATCCTGGGGATTTTTAGTTCAGCTAATCACTGCTGTTTCACTAGCATTTGGGGGTTGCTGCTGATTGCTTCTTTTACTTTGCTATATTTTATTTTATTTTATTTTATTGCATACTTTACAGAAGGAACAGAGTATTATTCACCCAAAGGGGTGAATTAGAACATTAAGACAAACAGAAAGGATACCCTGTTCTCTGTCTTAATTTTCTACTTTACTGTCTTTAGATACAGGGCGATTTCTCACTAGAGCTGCCTCACAGCACAGCCACCGTTTGCCCCAACACAAACATGTCAATTTCACACCCGAAGCTCCGGGGCTGCATTTTGACTCGGGGCTTCGCCCGCTTTCCTCCGCAGTTTCGTGATTCTGGTTTTTGAGGATCATGAAACTGCGGAGGAAATCGGGCAAAGCCCCAAGTCAAATTCAGCCCCGCAGCCTCGGGTGTGAAATTGACATGTTTGTGTTAGGGCAAATGGCGCTGTGCTGCGAGGCAGCTCTAGTGAGAAATCGCCCATGCTCACCTATGTTTCAAAGGCTCCATTGATTTGCTGGTGATTTTCTATATTGCCTTAAGAAGCCTTGGGTGTAGGGTTACCAACTCTGGGTTGTGAAATTCCTGGAGATTTGGGGTGTAGCTAGGGGAGGGTGGGGTTTGCGAAGTGGAGGGACCCCAGTGTGGCATAATGCCTTAGAGTTGGCCTTCCAAAGCAGCCATTTTCTCCAACAACACTATTCTCTGTTGTCACGAGATCAGGTGTAATTCTAGGAGATCTCCAGTCCCAACCTGGAGGTTAGCACCCAGACCTGGGTATCATTGTAATAGGTGGGGGGGGGGATCTAAGTTCTCTGAACGTTGAAAAAAACAGAGAGACAGATCTGCTTTTGACAGTTATTTTTTTTAAAAAACCCTTTGGGTGAAGTAGCACCTTGAGAGCATGGGGCCATGGAAAGTGATAGGAATAGACTCCAATGGTTAGGATTCAATGATAAAGATATGGACATCATAAAACAAAGCCCTCAGTACTGAATTTGGATAGTACCTTGTTGAGGGCACAGCGTGTATGGTTTCTCCAGTGTTCTTTGGCGTTCCCTTCTCTTGTGCTGTTCCAAGCTACTTAAAAGACCTAAACAGCCCCTAATTATGGCCCTTTCTGCACCTGTATTTTGCCTCAGTTTCTGAGCACATCCTGTTCTTCCATTCTGCGTTCCCTCCCACTTCTACTTCTCCTTGTGTCAGGGCCTTTTCTTGTTTCTGCATTTGTTTTACAGGAATCTGTATTCAGACCGCTTCCAGCACACTGTTTCCCCACAGCTACCAAAACTCCCTTTGCTGCGATTCTTTGTTCTCATCCACTTTCGAATCGCTAATCCTTTCTAAAGTAGAATTGTTTCTGCAGGTATTTAAGTGCTGCCCACTGCCCCTCCCCCATTTCCGCCTCTCTCTCTTTAGGTTGATGGTCCCTCCCCATTCTGTTTTCTTTCCCTCCTTCTTCAAAGACAAAACGGGACGTGTCCTCCCGCTCAGGCAAGCTTTTAAAAAGCCATAGAGAGCACAAGAAGGAATCAGTAAATATAAAGAACTAGGGGATTCCCTGCTCCCAAACGTGTCAGTCTTGCATGCGTCGGCCTGGATTTCCCGCTCCCTTCCCTTCCCTTTTGCAGAATCACAGAGGGAGGGAGGGAGGGAGGGGTTGGCAGCCAGTTAGCTCAAAAAATACAGGTTTTGCTTATAGATGCAGAATGCATACAGAATACACAAATAAACAAACTGGAGGGAGGAAAAACCAGTGCAGAGGGAATGCATGCAACTCTGAAGTCAACCCTTAAGGCTTGACTCCTTGGATTCTCCGGAGCAAGCTATCAGTGCAGAAAGAGCCACTAAGAAGAGCGTTCATGCTTGCTCAATTAAATTATTTTCCCTCAGCCATACTGGAAGGCCAGTTTGCAGGCACAGTGTATTCAGACAGTTTGTAAATGTGGATCTGGTCAGCTTGCGTCTTTAGAACATATTTTATTGGAGTATGAAATCTGGTCTGATTTGAGAGAAAGGGATTTGTCCTCCCTCTTAATAGGCTGCGTGGATTTACCATCTCAAAAAATTGTCCAGTTTTCCCTTGTAGATGAGGATTGAAAACTACTTTTGCAGTTGCTAAATATTTAGCTGCGGTAATTCCTTATGGCCACTGGTGGGGGATGGGGGGGTAGAGTTGCAGATTCAGTTTGGGAAACTCCTGGAGATTTGGGGGTGGAGCCTGGGGAGGACAGGGGCCTCAGTGGGATACAATGCCACAGAGTCCACCCTCCAAAGCAGTCATTTTCGAACTGATCTCTGTAGTCTGGAGATGAGCCGTAATTTCAGGGGATCCCCAGGTGCCATCTGGCGGTTGGCATCCCTGCCTACGAGAGGGCTGGATCTCGGTCTGTTCAAGACCTCCGAGTCAAAAGAACAGTAACCTCAGAATCAGCACTGGGAGGCCAATTTTGAGCTGAAAAACAAGTGGTGGGTAAAGAATTAGTGGCTTCTCTCTCGTTGACTTTGATCTGCTCAAGCCTTGCCTGGCCAGGGTTGCTTGGGGTAAAAAAAAAAGTCCCTGCCAAAATAAAAACATTGCAGAGATCTGTGTGCTGCACAAAACTGTCAGCTCAGTCGGAAGGGAAATCACATGGTGGTGGTGCATGACATCAGTTCCTCTTGAACTGCAAGCCACCGTGTCCAGGACTTCCTGTGCCAGTAAGACAAGGAGGGCTTCTTATGAAGAGAATACCTCCTGGCAGCCTTGCTTTCAGGTTCACTTCCTCTTCTGGTGCCTTTTTCTGTCCGCTCTTTGCACAGTTTTCCAGGGCTTGTGCGGCAAAGGAGTTCTCCGTGTGAGAGGGCTTTTTTAAAAAAGAAAAGAAAGAAAGAAGCTTCACTTGTCTTTCTTCCTGTCCTGGAGGGGGCATTTCCCCAACATGCTCGAGAGAGGGGCCTTCTGCCTACTGGTATTTGTCACATTATCTTTGGTTGTGCTTTTCCAGACCCGCTTGATAGCCAGAGAGCTCAACCCCTGCGTGCAGGTAGGTGGCTTTGAAATAAGGACGGCATCCTCTTTCCTCCGGAGCTTCTCCATTGACTCATTCTGACAGCTCTCCTAGTGAATTGGAGTGCTGGTTTCTCCAACCTCTTCTCTAAATGTGTGGGAAACAGGCGGAGGTGAACTTGAACATAATGTTCCTCCATCTGTTCTTGTCTGCTCTATGGGGGGTGTTCAGAGGGCCAGCAAAGGCGTCTTCAGGAGAGAACATAATATTATGCCATGCAACTGGTGGAAACTTATCATCTAGGAGGAAAAGGCTAGAGTTTATAGGTGGTGCTGGGGCAGCAGCAATCTTTATTTTTTATCCCAGTCTTCCTCCAAGGAGCTTAGGGCAGGCCTCCTCCTAACATTTGATTTCACAGCCACCCTGTGAGGTAGATAGCTTAGGCTGAGAACCAGTTAGGCTAGAACAGATTTGAGAAGCTCGAGTCTTTTTGTTTCTCGAAAAATGTCCTTTATCATTTGACAAAAGAAAGAAGTTGGGCAAATCCCAAGCCTGTCTGTAAGATATGATTTTTCTCAACATATAACTAGAATAAACTCTCTTTTAGGAAGCCAAACCCCCATGCTGGGTAGTTTTTCTTGCTTTCCAATATTGTACTACTAATATTATACGTATTACTTGTACTACTGCTGTTAAATGACGCCTTAGAAGATCCATATTTTTAAATTTTAGTTCTAAATAATCCCAGGACTACTATTCCAGGATCACTAGGAATTTTGCTATTAAATTCTCCTGTGATTTTGCAGTTTTCCTAACAAAACCCTTTGATCTTTGAGCATTTGCACCAAATATGAATTTAGGAACCAACATACTTCTTGGAATGGCAGGCTGTGCCCAACATGACCCCTTAATGTCTAAGTGTAAGCACTTGTATGGCTGTATCCTTCAAATGCACTCAGAAATTTAACATAGATCTCCAGGAAGATAGATTTGGGTGATTAGCTGTGTCGATCTGAAGCTGTAGAACAAAGTTTGAGTCCAGTGACACCTTTAAGGCCAACATAGTTTATTCAATGTATGAGCTTTCGTGTGCATGCACACTTCCTCAGATACAATGAAATGGAATTTACCAGTCCATACATATAGGCAGAGGGTGGGCAGTAAATTAGTATGCAGCGTAATGAAGATGTTTATCAGATTCAGAAATAACAAGCTTAGTTTATATGGTTACCGTGTAACAGAGTGAAGATGTTTTAACAGATGCAAAGACCCAATAAGAATAACAAGCTAAGTCTACATGGTCACCATTTGTTTGGAATCAATTCTGGGGGGAAACACAGAGAAGCAAATAGATATGTCAAAATTGGAGACTGATGTATCCTTCTTAATTGTGTAGTGCTAAGAGTAATTAGGAGCTGCGGTGGCTCAAGTGGTTAAGACGCTGAACTGCAGGTTGTGTAAGGTCGGTAGTTCAGCAGTTCGAGACCTGAGTGTGCCACATGACAGAGTGAGCTCCCGTCTCTAGTTCCAGCTCCTGCCAACCTAACAGTTTGAAAGCAAGAAACTGCAAGTAGATAAATAGGTACCACTTCAGTGGGAAGGTAACAGCGTTCCATGCGCCTTGGTGTTTAGTCATGCTGGCCACATGACCACGGAAATGTCTTTGGACAGCGCTGGCTCTTCGGCTTTAAAACGGAGATGAGCACCGCAACCCTAGAGTCGGAGTTGACTGGCTTTCGAGCAAGGGAACCTTTACCTTTACCTAAGAGTAATTAACGCAGACCTCCATGCTTGAGAGGCAATGAATCGTGCGTAACAATATGGTCTCAGTTGACCCCCCACACACACTGGTAAATTCCATTTAATTGTATCTGAGGAAGTGTGCATGCACACAAAATCTCATACATTGAATAAAACTTTGTTGGTCTTAAAGGTGCCACTGGACTCAAACTTTGTCTATAGATCTCCAGGGATTGTGATGCTGAACCTTAACAATGGCAAGACTAGCATATCATACTAAAAATATTTTAGGAGACACTCTCCAGCCCCTCAAAAAGTCAAAATTGGGACAGTGATTGGGTGCCAGAAAATAGGTATTGTTCCTAGAGCAGGGGTCAGCATCTTTTTATGGTTAAACAGCCAAACTATATCAACATTCAGAGCATCAGCTCAACAAAGTGCCAGTAACTGAAACTTAACATTACTTAACAACTGGACATTACTGATAATTGACCCGTTGATCAAGAATCCATAAAGTTTCTACAGCCTAAACACTAGTTGTTGTGAGACTTTTATTAGGAATTGGCACATACAAGTCTCACAGGAGCAGCCTGCGTGGTTGTTTCAGTACGCTGACATAAATCTATGCATGGTTCATACTTATTGGCCACTGGTCACCTCTATCATTTGCCTTTCTGCAAAGCATCTCAAAGTCCCATAATTTCCCTCCTGCACATACTGATTATTCTAGCATCCCAATTACCTCTCCAATATGCCTTAATCTCAATATTTCTTTTTCAAAGTACCCTATTGGATTCTGTACTCAGCCACATATGACTCTAGAGGCAGAGGTTGCAGGCACCCAGTCCTAGCTGCCAGTGCCCTCCATTCATTGATTCTTCCTGAGACTTAAATGTATTCCTTCATCTCTTTTAACTTATCTTTGCAGATTTAAGGGACAGAAATTTACTTTTAAAAAAGGTGCTGTTCTGATTCAATCTGTTTCAGTCATCATCTCTGAGTAGGTGTTAGATGAGCATATTCCAGCTGCCTAGATTTATTTGTGAAGATGTATTCCGTTTATAAAGATTTATTCTTGAAATGTAACAGGAATAAAGGATGGAGTTGCCCCCCCCCCCTTTCTTCCTGAATGCAGCAATCTTCTTTGTCCATCTTAACACCTCCATCCTCATTTAGGCCTGCAATAAATGTATGAATTTTAATTAAATCTGCATAGACTTGTAAAAGAAAAATAGCTGTGGATTTAACAAAGAGAGCATTTGTCTTTAGAGGATGCTCATATGTAGCATTGCAAGCACACATTTCAAAAGAAGCATTCTGTCCAGTGTACGAGAGGAGAAATACATCTAAGAAAAGCATTAGAAGAGGTTTTCTGTCCTGTGTTGGAGGGAATGCCTGTTAATATGGTACTGGAAGAGGCATTTCCTCCAACATGAGACACAGTGAGAGGATGGAATGCTATTCCTAGGACAGTGTTAAGAGAAGTTATTTCCTTCTCTCTCTGAGAGAATCGGGAATGCTTCTTCGATGATAGCAGCAGAAGAGGTCTTCCCTCCTGTATATTAGTGAAGGTGGAATGCTTCTCAGAAGCCAGCTGCCAGATATGGATGTATAAGTACTTAGATTAAAACGTCTGACTAAAAATTGATTGCATGCTAAATTGGGACCACCTTTGTAATTGACCAAAAGATCGTTCATTGATTAATCTTGCTGCTCAATTGACAAGACATTGCAACTATAAGATACAAGGGGTGGACCCGCGATACTCGTGGGGTGGGGGGTTGGGAGGGAAGCAGAGCTCCAAACGGAGCTCCAAAGTCAGAAGGCGGAGGAGGAAGCAGCAGGAGGAGGTAAGTCCCCCCCCATCCTGCCGGTTCCTCCCCCGCCCACCCCCGCTCGATCTCCCCCCTTGGCCTGAGTAAGTTTCATGATGCGTTATGGGTAGTAATCACAGGTCAGACGGCTATTAAATTACTCTCGCTTGGGGGAGGGGGCAGGATTGTGGCCCTGCCGGGTGGGGGGGCGGAGTGCGTGTGTGTGTTGGGAGGGGGGGTGTTCCTCCTACCGGACGCGGGACTCGCACATGAAGATGTCCGGATAGTGGGTCTTGGCGAAGCTCCTCTCCTGCTCGTTGAGCTGGGCCGGCGTGAAGCGCGTCTGTTTTTGCTGGCCCTGCTGCTGGGCGCCCTGGCTGGGGTTCTGGCTCCCCGGTTGGCCCTGCTGCTTGTCCGGGTCTTTGCCGGGCTGCTTGTCCAGGTCTTTGCCGGGCAGCAGCGTGGCCCCTTCCACCAAGTCCGAGTTAGGGGCCAGGTCGCCCGGGTGGCCGTCCGACTCCGAGCCTCCGACGCCCAAGCGGCACTTCACCGCCTCCCGGTGGCCCAGCAGCTCGGCGGCGTCCTTCATCCCTGTGGAGGCAAAGCAGCGGCCCGCCGCGGTTCAGTGTCCCGGCTCCCGAGCCCCCCGGCGCTGCCCTGAGGCCCGGAAACCGCGCGCTGCCCCCA